GGAGCAGTGGGAGCCCGCGTGCCGCGCCGATGGGGCCCCCCCACCCAGCCCCCGCTGCGCCCGCGATGGCGGTGCCCACCGCACCCGGGGGAGCCGGGCCGTCAGCCGGGCCGACGCCGGCCGCTACATCTGCCGGGCCACCAACAAGCACGGCTCGGCTGTTCGCAGCGTTGTTGTCACCGTCGAGTGTGAGTGCCGGGGGTGCCGGGGACGGGACGGGGATCTGGTGGTGCCAGGAGTGCCGGGACAGGGATCTGGTGGTGCCAGGGATGGGATGGGGATCTGGTGGGGCCGGTGGTGCCGGGGATGCTGTGGCTATGCTGGGGATGCCGTATCTATGCTGGGCATGGCACGGCCACGTCAGGGATGCTGTATCTGTGCTGGGGATGCCATAGCTGCGCCAGGGATGCCATTAGCTGTGCTGGCAATGCCATAGCCGTGCCGGGGATCCCATAACTGTGCCAAAGATGCCATGGCTGTGATACCGTGTCCGTGCCGGGGATGCCGTGTCCGTGCCAGCCTGGTGGGGAGCCCGGCCGCCTTTGGGCCGGTCCCATCGGCACAGGGTGGGGAGTGGGTCCTCACAGCCCCCCTTGGGCGGGGAGGGACACACGGCACCCAGCCCCCCGTGCCGTGTCCCTCCCGGTGTGCAGATGAGCCGAGCATCGGCGAGATGGGCTGCCCGGCGCGGCGGCTCTGGGTGGAGGGGACGCCGGCGGAGCTGGCCTGTGCCGCCAGCGGGAACCCCCCGCCCCACGTCGCCTGTGCCAAGCTGGGGGACGGCCAGGACCCCCCTCCGGCGAGCCCCAACGTCACCCGCGCCCACGCCGGCACCTACCAGTGCCGGGCCACCAACACCCACGGCTCTGCCCTCCGCAATGTCACCGTCGCCGTCGAGTGTGAGTGCGGGGAGTGGCTTTTTGGGGCAGAAAAGAGGGTTTTGGTTATTTTTAAACACCTGACGGTGGTTTTGGCTGATGGACGGTGCCGCCCCGGTGCAGACAGCCCCGCCGCGGTGAGCCTACGCGTGCT